CTGGCCGAGCCGCTCGCCGGGACCAGGGCCAGCGCTGCGGGGCCCTAGCCGGCCGGGCCAGAGCCACAGCCACTCGGCTGGAACCGGAGCCACTCGGCTTGAGATGGGGCCAGAGCCGCTAGGCCGGGATTGGCACCGGCGCTGCGGGGCCCGGGCCGGGCCGGAGCCACAGCCACTTGGCTGGAACCGGAGCCACTCGGCTTGAGATGGGGCCAGAGCCGCTAGGCCGGGATTGGCACCGGCGCTGCACGACCCGAGCCGGGCCAGAGCCACAGCTGCTCGGCCGGGACCGGGACCAGGGCCGCGGGGCCTGAGCTGGGCCAGGGCCAGGACCGGGCTGTGGCGCTTGGCAGGGGCCAGGCCAGGGCCAGGGTGCCGGGCCAGAGGGAGCTGCTCAGCTGGAGCCAGACTGGGCCACGCCGCACCGCGCCGTGCCTCCCTGGAGCCGTCCTCGTGCCCCCCCAGCTTACCTGCTTGCTGCTTGTTTCAGGCTTCCCGCGAACATCTGATTCGCGGGAAACAGGGGAGGGGGAGGAGAAGGGGAATGGAGTGTTCTGGGGAGAAGGGGGTGAGCTGGGGCCGGGGACGGGGTGGACAGCTGGGGAGCTTTTGTTAAATTTAAAAGCCCTTTTAGAACCGGTTGTCCCGGAACAACCGGTTCTAAAAGGGCTTCTAAATTTAACAACCGGTTCCTGCAAACCGGTGGGAACCGGCTCCAGCTCACCACTGCCTCTATTCTCCACGCCCTACTTAGAACAGAGCTGGGTGAAACTTTTCAGATAAAGCTTTTTTCAGTGAAAAATTCAGATTTGGAGACACTGCCGTGTTTTGCAAATTCATATGGTTTCACTGAATTGTTCATGTTGGAAAAAAAGAAAAACCTCCCAACATCTCAACATTTTGTGTTCACCATTTCTAAATCAAACATTTTGATTTTTTTGGGTTAAAAATAACTTTTCATTTCAAAATATCCTTGAAATGTAGATACATTTAAAAAAAATCAAAAATGTTAAGAAACTCAATTTTTTTTAATTTCTCATAATTTCCAGCAAAAATGAAAACAAAATTGCACTGCTCTAGTTTACAGCTGCTAGTCAAGACATTTCTTAGATTCATAGATTCCAAGGCCTGAAGGACCATTGTGACAATGTAGTCTGACCTCCTCTATAACACAGCCCAGAGATCTTCCCCAAAATAATTCCTGGAGCTGATCTGTTAGAAAAACATCCAATCTTGATTTAAAAATCGCCAGTGACGGAAAATCCACCGTGACCCTTGATAAATTGTTCCAATGGCTAATTACTCGCACTGTTAAAACTTTACACCTTATTTCCAGTATAAAATTGTCTAGCTTCAACTTCCTGGTATTGGATAGTGTTGGACCTTTCTCTGCTAGATCGAAGAGCCCATTATTTAACATTTGTTCCCCATGTAGGTACTTATAGACTGGGATCAAATCACTCTTTAATCTTCTCTTTGTTCTACTAAATAGACAGCTGCTGGAGTCTCTCATTATAAAAGTGTGTTTTCTATTCCTTTCATTCTCGAATGTCTCTTCTGAACATCTCTCCAATTTTGCAACATCTTTCCTGAACTGTAGACACCAGAACTGAAGACAGTATTCCAGCTGTGGTTCCATCAGTGCCAAATAAAGAGGTAAAATAATCTCTTAATCTTCTCTTTGATGAAGATTGAGCTCCTTAAGTCTTGCTCTATTGGCCCTGTTCTTCAGGCATCCTTGTAGCTCTTTGCTGAAGCCTCTCCAACTCTGCCCCCAATGATGTAGCCAGCTTGTTAACTCCTGCACATCTGTTATCTTTTTCCCCCCCAAGGCCTATGTAACACAAAGACAGAAGCTACCATGGGGAATACAACTCAGGACCGTCCATTCAAGAAACACGGACTTTTCTAACTCGTGGGATAAAGCTTCATCCTTACTAACAAGTTTTAGTAGCAGGATGCACTATTATTACTATTATTATTGTTAACTATTTGTATGGCAATTTCACTCCATTGTGCTCAGTGCTGTACAGACACGGAACAAAAAGACTGTCTTGTTCTCTTCCTCTGAGTCAGGAAATTACCTTCAGATAGAAAGAAACAGGCTGCTATAATAATATCACTGGATGAAGTTTGCAAAAATAAGTTTATTGCTTCACAATCATGTCCGCAGGTTTATTTGTTTTTATTGACAATCAGAACAAAGTCTTTTTCCTCATTAAAGACCCTAGAGGACACAGAATGTCACGAGGGCTACAGCTATGGCCCTATGAGTAATTCCTAGCTAAGATGGCAGCGGGGTTCACTCCAGGGAGGGAAGATGCTTCAGCAGCCAGGATTTTGTTTAGACATCACTAGAAGACAAAAAACAGGAGAGGAGTTAGTCAGCCTTCTTCAGGACTGGGAAGATGTCTCAGTAAGATTCCTTTGCCATTAATTCATAGATTTTAAGGCCAGAAGGGACCAGATCATCTAGTCAGCACAGGTCAGTGAATTTCAACCACTCTTTCCCCCCCAGGGAGGTACCTATAGGCCATCATAGAAAGACCATGGAAAGGGCAGCATCTGCAGAGCCACTCACCACCCGGAGAAGTCTCTGGCCTTCCAGGCATCGATGACCTCAGCGATGTTTCCTGCAACCTTCCCACTGGGCAGCCGCAGGTCGTCGGAGACGTCGCCATTGAAGTTCCCGCAGGACGCACACAGCTTGTTAGCCAGGGTCTCACTGACTCTCACCATCACCTCCCCACTGGGGCTGAACAGAACCTGCATCCCCGAGCCTTGGACCACGGCCACGCCGCCCTGAGACCTGCTCACAGACACAGCACCGGAGACGTTCACCGGCAGCTGCACCAGGCGCCCATTCACCTGGAACACACAGACATAGGTCAGAGGAGAGCTGGGGAATGTGGAGGTGAATGAAACAGAAATAGGCCAGGAGCTGAGCTCGAGTCCATAGGCCACATTACATGGCAACAGGATCTAGACTCTATAGGCTCCATCATAAGGCTGTGGGATCTAGAGTCCATGGGCCCCAATACCAGGTAATGGGATCTAGAGTCTATGAGTCACAATAAAAAGCAATGGGGTCTAGTGACTATGGGCCATATTAAAAGGCAATGGGGCCTGGGGTCTAGAGTCTATGGGCCACATTACGAAGCAAAAGGGTCTAGTGACTATGGGCCATATTAAAAGGCAATGGGGACTAGAGAGTCTGGGCCACAATAAAAGGCAATAGTCTTACACTGAGAGGTGCAGAAAACACTATGACTGACTGAGAAGCCAACCAATAAACAGTGCTCTGGAGAGCAAATTTTTCCAATTCTGTCAATATCCAATGAAGGTGCACTGATTTGCATAGGCAACTTGATTGGCTAAAGTCCCTCCTGATTTCAATGTTATTGACCTGTGAGCAACAGTGTTTCTTAGTGGGAAAAGAACTCTAGAGATTTTATGCAAATGTTTAATGCCCTAATTTACATATTTGATGAATGATACCTGTACTTATTTGCATAAATGACAGCAGCCAATCAAGAAAGAGACAAGGTGGGTGAGGTAATATCTTTTATGGGATCAACTTCTGTTGGTAGCAGCACAAGCGTTCAAGCTACACAGAGCTCTTCTTCAGGCGTGTACAGCTTGCAAGCTCCTTCCTCCCACCAACAGACGTTGGTCCAATACAAGGTATCACCTCACCCAGTTTGTCTCTCTAATATCCTGGGACCGACACGCCTAGAACAACACTGCAAACAGCTGTTCAGGTTACCGAGTTCTGAATGTGACACCATGATACTGCCTCTGATTCCTCCCTCAGCCCCCAGGGGGCAATCTTGCTCCCCCAATGGACAGGTCCCCCCATGAAGGGGGGGTTCTTTCCCCCAATGGAGAGGTGCCCCAGTGAAAGGAGGAATCTCCCAGGGAACCTACTGGGTTACAGAGACCCTTCCTAGAGCAGTTCCCTGCCTCTCCTCCAAGCTTAGAGGTGGAACACAGCAGGGGTGAGGGGGGCTGGGAGTCAGGACTCCTGGATTGCATCCCCAGCTCTGGGAGGGGAGTGGGCTTTAGTGGGTTAGAACAGGGGGAAGTCAGGACTCCTGGGTTCTAATTCAGTCTTTGCTACTGAATAATTGTTCATCCATAACTCAGATCATCCCCCACAGCCTGTACACCACGTCCTGTCAACACAGGGGGTTAATGAGGCTGAATGAATTGATCTTTGAGATGCCCACATCGGCCTCACTTATGGATCAACATCACTGTAATTTCTAGTCTTTTCATCATTTCGGTGGCAGCTGAATGAACTTCCTGCCCCTTCGACTCAGGCTGTTCTAATGTGGCCCCCTCTTACCCAGGTCTCCTTGTTCCTTTTCACAGCTATGAAAGCATCTCGGAAGAAAATGTAGGCGGTCGTCCCAGCCATCACTGCCCCGTCGCCGCATGCCCTGATGTCCACCACCACCCTGAACCAGGAGGGGGCGCTGTCATTGCAGAGAGAGGCCAGCTCGTAAGCGCCACTGTGGAGATCTCCTCCAGAGGCGCCGTCGAATGAGGTGAGCTGGGCTCCGGGGAGCAGTGTGCACCGGCCTTCCTGCTTCACGCAGCCGCGCACCCCATCCTGGAGCGCACAGATCTCTTTGTTGGGGCAGCTGTGTGGCTCGCAGACGAGTCCGCCTGAGGCCTGGCAGGTGCACTTCTCAGAGCAAGCACTGGAGATGATGCTCTCCCCGGCCTGCAGGGAAATTCCCAAACAACTTTGTTACAGAAAAGCAGCAGGAGAAAAGTCCCAGAATGGGATCAACTCAAAGCTCCCTTTGATTATTTACATTACTGTAGCCTGCCGAGGTCAGGGTCCCATTGCGCTGGGTGCTGTACAAATAAATAGTGACAGACAGTCCCTGCCCCAAAAGATATGTCTTTACTGCAGAGTTATCTCGAGAGATCTTTCTTTCTCTGGGGTAGCCTAGCCTAGGTGTGAGTAAAATAAATACTCTGTCCCTCCTGGTGAAGAGCTCCACTGTGTGTGCTGCTGGGACTTCTGGGGGCATATCCCGTGGTGCTTTCTGCTGCAATAAATGTGGGAATTTTGGTAATATTTTATCAGGTCTATGTGCGCCTCAGTTTCCCTCGGTGCTTTGTACTGCTGTGCACTGAGTGTAAAGGGAAGGGGTGAGGTGTTGGACTCATGTAGCCACCTGGTTGGAGGCCAGAGTCATTAACAAATGGAATAAAGTCTAGGCTTGTGAACAGAGGGTCTGGAAGAGACAATGGAAACCCCAAAGGCCGGGACATTCACCCACACTGACCAACTACCAAAGACAGGAATTTAGCTGCAAGGAAGCAGAGCAAAGGCCCTGAGCTGGAGAATGAAGGGGAAAGGTGCCAGGTGGCTGGGTGAAGAGCTTAGCTCACAGGGGCTCTCTCCTGGGATGGAGACAAAAGGACAGAGCCAAAGAGAGGAAGCGACATGGTTCCTCCGGCAGCATGGCTCAAGGGAGCCCGGGCGTTAGCCAGTCTGAACTCTGCCGTGACCTTTGCTTCTCTGCGCTAACCCAAGACCTTTCAGATGCAGTAGCCAGGGGACTAACAAGCTGTTACCTTGACAAGAGCACTTGGTGTCGCTGCAAATTCTCACTGAGGGCTTTGCACCCTGAAGAGGTAGGAATAAAACTCCCACAGGAGTCCAGCTTTGCTGGACTCGCCGCAGGGAGCCGTGGAGAGACAAGGGATCACTGGTGCCCAAACGGCCAGTTGTGGACTCACGGGGCCATGGGCCTGCCCCTGTGGAGCTGGTGGGTCCTTGGGGCCCGGCACACTAAAGAGGTTGCCCTAAGGGACTAGTTATATGCTGTCGCATAGACCAGTCCCTGTGAATCCATGACACTGGAATTCTTCCCCAGTGAACTGTGGCACCGGAGGGCGATCAGTAATTTAGCCTGTGTCTTCATGGCAAAGTGCCTGTTACCTGAGTGTAAACAGCACCCAGGGTCCAACCTCACCACCACTCCACTCCCACCCCACCCCACCCCACCCCACCCCCTGGATGGGCCGGCCAACCTGGGTTGAAAGAACCACTGAACTCAAGTGAGAACATCAGAATGTCATAGTGGGTCAGACCAATGTCCATCTAGCCCAATATCCTGTCTCTGGCAGTGACCAGGGCCAGATGCTGGAGAGAGAATGAACAGAACAGGGCAATTAGTGTGTGATCCATCCCCTGTCCTCTACTCCCAGCTTCTGGCAGTCAGAGGGTTAGAGATAACCCGGAGCATGGGGTTGGGGCCCTGAAAATCTTGGCAAATAGCCATTGATGGTCCTATCCTGCTTGAATGTATCTAATTCTTTTTTGAACCCAGGTATAGTTTTGGACTTCACAACATCCTCTGGCAATGACTTCCACAGGTTGACTGTGTGCTGGGTGAAGTGCTTCCTGACTGGGTTGAAGATGGAGGGAGCATGATAAGTTTATGAACTTCCTAGATGGGAAAGGACCTGTCCCATTCCCCATCCTCCAAGCCAGCCACTTACCCTAACTGGGGTCAGGATTAGACCTGCAGCCTCCTAGAGGGGAAAGGCAATATGTCCCTTTCCCAACCCCCTAAGCCAGCCAGTGTCCCGTGCTGGGCCAGATCAGAGCCGGCGCCCTCTAGTGGGGAAAGGCTCCATATCCCATTTTCCATCCAATCCCATGGTTTTCCTGTGATGAATCCCTAGCGCATGGCATAGTTTCATTTCCACATGCAAGGATCACACAGGGCAGGTGTTCGGATGCTCATCTAACCAAGTGCCACTGACTGCAGCGGAAGTCACATGGGTGACTGAAGGCAGGACCTAGCTGTAGGTTTTGTGTGTCGCTGCACTGAAGGGCACAGACACACAGTCACTGTAACTCCCCGTGGGAAGCTGGGACAATCCCACACCTACAAGGGCATCCGATGCCAAATGACAGCATCAAGGACGACAGCCGACTCATATCCCAGCACCCACCTTGATGTAGCGTCCGTCACGCACGCAGCCGCATCCTTCCATGGGCGTGCACGTTTCCCCATTGAATGCGTAGCCGGCGTCGCACTGGCAGCCTTCAAAGCATTTCGCAGTGCATTGGGCAGGGGAGAACAAGCCAGCGCATGTGAAATCGCAGGATCTAGTGCAGAGCTCGTAGTGGCTGTTGGCCGGGCAGGTGAAAGCTGGAGAGACAGAAGCGAATGAGAAAGGGATGAAACCCTGAGGCTGTGTCTGCACTACAGCAGCTACAGCGGCATAGCTACAGCACTGCAGCTATTCTGCTGTAGCACCCTGGTGTAAATGCTTCCTACATCAACAGACGGGGCTCTCCCATCCGTGTAGTTACTCTACCTCTTTGAGATACGATAGCTCGGTCAATGGAAGAATTCTTCCATCAACACAGCTGTGTCTACAGTGGAGTTAGGTCGACCTAGCTATGTCACACAGGGTGTGAAATGTTCACAGCCCTGAGCGATGTGGCTAGGTCAAGCTAATGTTTAGGTGTAGTGTAGACCAGGCCTGCCTCACCCATCCCACCCCCTGCAGCATGCTCCCAACCAGCTACTCTCTCCTCGCAAAGGTGTCTGACAAGCAGAGAGATTGTGATACCACTTCACTAGCTGCAAATACAGCTGAAGAGAAGAGCAGGCTGTAGATTGTTCTGTAGACTTACGGCAGAAGGAGGCTGTTCTCCAGGCACCGACTGTGCCTCCAGCTGCCTGGCATGCGGCCGCGTAGGCCTGGACACTCTGGCAGAGGATTTCTCTTGCTCCATTGGCAGCACACATGTCATAGAGACAATGGTTGAAATACTCGGTAGGGCTGACCAGTGAGTGACAGTATTGAAAGGGACCTGATGTCGCTTTGATCAACCCACAGGAGCTATCGACCTGATACGGTGCTGTTTTAGCTGCATCACAGACTGGGCATCTTTCCCCACAGCCGTCGGTGCAGGTGGCACCATCAACGGGCACCTTCCAGGAGGCCCCGAACTCATCCGCGTTCTGGGCG